ATTACTTTTTAAATGAAAAGATATAAGCAGTCTCCCCAAAGAGCATTAAGCCAAGCTTTTAAAGGTGATTGTTAGCTTTATAGGAAGTATGTAGATTTTTTTAAAACTCTGTTGAAAATCAGCATACAATGTCAAGTGCTAATCAGTAGAGACATTATGTTCATAAGGAATATATTTATTAGTGAAAATCAGTGAATTTAGTTCATATAAACATTAAATAGTGCTTGTTTTTTATAGAAATTCTCAGGTAGCTTACAGTTTTATTTTTAATGGAAATTTCTACATTTTTAAAAAGATTTTTAAAGTTTTAATATATAGTTTTAAAAGTGACTAAAAGACAGTTAACTTTTAAATTGTGAACTTTTTGGGGAGGGGGGCAGAAGACAGGGTCTTTCTCTGTCCCCTGGGCTAGAGTGCAGTAGGGTCATCATAACCCACTGTAAGCTCAGACTCTTGGGCTCAAGTGATCCTTGTGTCTCAGCTTCTCAAGTAGCTGAGACTATAGGCATGTGCCACCACTACTGGCTGATTTTTTTTTTTTTTTTGATACCAATAGGATCCTGCCCTTGCTGGGGCTGGACTCTTAACTCCTGGCCTCAAGCAGTCCTCCCATCGCAGTGTACCAAAGTACTAGGATTACGATGTGAGCCGCCATGCCAGCCTGTGAACTGTCTTAATTATGAAAAAGTAGTCTTCCTCTTAACCCATTCACCCTAGTTTCACTTCTTAGAAGACAACCACTGTTAACATTGTTTTTTTGGTATTCATAAATATTTTTTGCACCTGCAAGCATATGATACGTCTTTTCTCTTAAAAACTTGTTTTGTGGAGGCTAGAGTGTTGCTTGAGCCCAGAAGTTTGAGACCAGCCTGAGCAACATAGTGAGAACCCATTTCTTAAAAAATGTTTTGCCTCAACATGAGCGTGTTTTACCTACTGCCAAATACCTTCCTTTTCTTCATGTTTCTCTCACTTTAGCATATAGATTCTACCTTAATCTTTTTCTTTTTTTAAACTACCACATATTTCTTTGGAATGGATATGTAATAGAAATATCTTAGATGCTTGGATTTAATATCAGGTTATTTTAAAGTTTAATTATCAAATGATTACAAGCATAAAAGGTATTTGTTTGCTGGCTTTTGGGTATTTTAAGGAGTTACATCAGGCTAACTTCTTTTATGGTAAGATTTTCACACTCTTGGAAATACATGTGTCTCTCAGTGGGCCTTTAACAATGCCTCACTTGAAACTTTAGTTAAGGTGAGGAAATGGTGCTTGAGATGATTTGACTGAGTGGATTCATAACTAACTGGTCACAAATTCTGCCATTGAATAATTTTATAAAAGACACCAGGTTTTTGAATTGAGGTCAGTTTGAAAACAAAAATTACATCAATATTTTGTTTCTTTTTTCAGTGTCTGTGATATGTCATATAGTTTGACATGTTTATTAAATGTGTAGATAGAAGAATAGGTGATAGTAACATTTGCAGAACTCAAAATCAGAACTTTTTTTTGTATTTTGAGATAGTCTCACTCTATAAAAGTGCTGTTGGCATCATAGCTCACAGCAACCTCCAACTTTCTGGATTGAGTAAATCCTTGAGTCAGCCTCTGGAGTGGTTGGCGCCCACCACAACACCTGGTTAAAAATCAGAAGTTTTTAGGTTGATAAGAAATATATTTATTTTGAAAAATTAGGCTGGGCGTGGTGGCTCATGCCTGTAATCCTAGGACTCTGGGATGCCGTGATGGATAGATTGCTTGCACTCAGGAGTTTGAGACCAGGTGAATAAGAGTGAGACCCATCTCTTCTAAAATAGAAAAATGAGCTGGGCTTATGGTGGGTACCTGTAGTCCCAGCTACTTGGAAGCTGAGGCAGGAGAATCACCTGATCCCAGGAGTTTGATATTGCTGTGTGCTGTGATGCCACAGCCAGAGGCAATAGAATGAGACTCTGTCTCAAAAAAATAAAATAAAAAAGACTATATCTTTGGATAGGTGATTATATTCACATGGTTCAAAATTTTAGCAGTTTGTAAGAGTATACCGTGAAGACTTCTATTTCCATTCTTAGTCATTATTTCTTCATCCCGGAGAAACTAGTGTTATTGCTCTTTTGTGAGTTTACAAAACAATTTATGCCACATGCAAATCAACACACATATACACCCTCTCACTTATGTTCTGCCGTTGTGTTTACTTTGATTTATTTCAGTGAAGTGTATCCTGGAGATTTCTCCAAATCAGTATATAAAGAATAGTCTGGTTGGTTTTTGTTTGTTTGTTTTGAGACAGACTCTCACTTTGTAAACCTCAGTAGAGTGCTGTGGCGTTATAGCTCACAGCAACCTCAAACTCTTGGGCTCAAGTGATCCTCTTGCCTCAGCTTCTAAGTAGCTGAGACTACAGGCACTTGCCAAGATGCCTGGCTATTTTTAGAGATGGGATCTCACTCCTTGGCTTCCTAGAGTGCTGGGATTATGGTGTGAGCCACCTCACCAGCCCTTTTTTTTTTTTTTTTTTAAATTAAGAGACAGGGTCTTGCTCTTTGGCTTAGGCTGAAGTGCTGTGGAGTGGATTGTAGGTCATTGTAACCTGGGCTCAGGGGATCTTCCCACCTTAGTCTTCCAAGTAGTTAGGACTATAGGCATACACACTGGGATGTTCGGCTACTTCTTTTTTTTAAATTATTATTCTTTTTTAAAATTATTATTATTTTGCAGTTTTTCTTTTGGCCGGGGCTGGGCTTGAACCTGCCACCTCCAGCATATGGGGCCAGCGCCCTACTCTTTTGAGCCACAGGCGCCATCCATAACCATGTTTCTTTTTTTTTTTTGAGACAGAGCCTCAAGCTGTCCCCCTGGGTAGAGTGCCGTGGCATTACAGCTCACAGCAACCTCCAACTCCTGGGCTCAAGCGAGTCTCCTGCCTCCGCCTCCCAAGTAGCTGGGACCACAGGCGCCCACCACAACGCCCGGCTATTTTTTGGTTGCAGCCGTCATTGTTGTTTGGCGGGTCCGGGCTGGGGATTCGAACCCGCCACCTTAGGTGTACGTGGCTGGCACCTTAGCCGGTTGAGCTATAGGCGCCGAGCCTAAATTATTATTTTTTATAGAGATTAGGTTTTGCTATATTACCTGTGCTGGTCTTGAACTCCTGGCCTCAAGTGATCCTCCTGCTTCAGAACTCATTAGTTTTGATGTTTGCATATTCTGTTAAATGTATGTAAAATAATTTTGGTTTTTATTTTAAAACTAGGGCCCTAAAACCAGGACATTAAGTTGTTCTTGCTGTTCTTTTCCTATGTTATCTCAAATAATTAAGCAGTGAATAACCTGTGCTAATTTACACGTAAAAATTCATGGGAAGAATAAATGCCTGAAAGAATTGCAAGATCAAAGTATGTCTATGCACGTATAATTTTTAGAACTGTTGCTAATTTCCAACCTTAGGTAGTACCAGAATACATTTCTACTACCAATTAAGAAAGTGGTGAGAGATTTTAAAACAGCTAGTCTAGCCATCCATGTGGTCATATTTAGAATATCTCTGGTAAGTGGACATTGCCTGTGGCTGAGCATTCTCAGTGATAGCCATTCACTTCTTTTCAAAATTGTCGCCTACATCTTCAGATAATTTGGTTCTGCGTGCTTACTTACATAGAGTAAAATAATCTTTTTCTTGGTGGTATTAAAAAGTTTAACATTTGAGGCTGGGCACGGTTGGCTCATGCTTATAAGGTGGAAGCAGGAGGATTACTTGAGCTCAGCAGTTGGACACCAGCCTGAGCAAGAGTGATACCCTGACTCTACTACAAATAGAAAAATTAATTGGGCTTTTTGACAAGAGCCTGTAAGTCCCAGCTGAGGCTGGAAGATCACTTGAGCCCAAGAGTTTGAGGTTGCTGTGAAATAGGTTGAGGCTACAGCACTCTAGCCTAGAGTGAGAGTCTGTCTCAAAACAACAACAACAACAAAAATGTTTTACAAAATAACTTTAATATCTGAAGGCAGCTATTTATTCATTCTTTCAACTTTTTTCTGTAGCATCAGGCTTGGAGTCTGTTTACTCTCCTGATTATTCTCATTTATCCCAGTGGTATCCTAGATTACTCATATTCTTAGAAAATGTGCTGTCCACAGTGTGGCATTTCCAAGTATGGTTTCACTAATCCTGCTTATAGTAGGGTTGTCTATCATTTCTTTCCTTGCTACAGTATGACTAAATTCTCTATTTTTCCTGAATGTAACTTTTTTTTTTTTAGAGACAGAGTCTCACTTTGTCCCCTTGGTAGAGTGCTGTGGCATTACAGCTCACAGCAACCTCCAGCTCTTGGGCTTAGGTGATTCTCTTGCGATTCTCTCTCCCGAGTAACTGGGACTACAGGCACCTGCCACAGCGCCTGGCTATTTTTGTTGTTGTTGCAGTTTGGCTAGAGCCGGGCTTGAACCCGCCACCCTTGGTATATGGGGCTGGTGCCCTGCTTACTGAGCCACAGGCACTGCCCCATCCTGAATGTAACTTTTACGGGTGCTTTCAGTAGAAAGTAATTTCTCTTCATGAATGCCAACTTGGGGATAGAAAAATGAAAATAATAATTTCTTAGAAGTGCTCTTGGTATTCATCTTTTATAGATAGGCTATGTAAATTTCCTTAGTTCCCAATTTTTCTGTAGTTTATTTTCCAATATGGTTTAGTTTAGTGTAGTTTAATGAGTTCTTTTTCAGAACTCATTAGTTTTGATGTTTGCACATTTATTCTGTTAAATATATGTAATATAATTTTGGTTTTTATTTTAAAACTAGGGCCCTAAAACCAGGACATTAGGTTGCTCTTGCTATTTTTTTCCTATGCTATCCCAAATAATTTAGCAGTGAATAACATGTGCTATTTTACATGTGAAAATTTATGGGAAGAATAAATGCTTGAAAGAATTGTAGGGTCAAAGTATGATTAACTTGCAGGATACTTGCAGGGTCAAGTATTGATTAACTTTTTATTCATTATCAAAACAGTACAGTGTAATAGGAACATTTTACTATTAGCAATATGGGTATCACCAAATTAAGATTTTTGATTCTAAAATTGTTAGGTTCCAAGACCAAAGATTAAATTAATAAAAGGAGAAGCTGGACAAAATCTGCTGGAAATGATGGCATATGATCGTCTGAGCCAGTCAGGTAATAGTAATATTTAACTGATTTAAATTTAAAAAGAAAAATGATCTTTTAACTGTTATATAGCACTTCTTATAAAATCTTTTGTCTGTCCCAGATATAATTTGTTAAAATTATTTATTTACTTTTGCAATGTCAGATAAAGGTAAGGGATTAGAATAAATGGTGTATTCTTTAAAAGAAACAAATATTTAGTATTGTTTGCTCCCAGGTAAGTGGTCATTCTAACTCTTCTTTACATAGCTCTTAGAGCCTCCATTCAGAATACTTCAGAGCACTTCCTAAGTTTTAAACAGTGATTTGCCTGTCCTTTAATACCAGTTGCTTCTTAAACACTGCTGTGGGGGAGATACAGTGTTAAAATGAAGACATGAGTCTATCTGTTAAAGAGCTAAGAACATGGTGACAAAGATAGAAGATCTGTATTCAAAATGTATTAGGCTCTTGGAATGTTTGGTTTTATTCCTATTTTTGACTGTTGGGGATAAACTCTAAAGATCTGTTAGAGTAATACCTGTGAGTTTGCTGAAGTACAAATTTCAAGGTAGTTAGATAGCGCAGTGACTCTAGCAGAGGAACCTAAGAAATGTAATGATTTCTGTAGGAACCAATTTCAAAATAAAATTTAATGAACTTTTTAAAGAGCAGGAAGAAGCATTAAAGCAAAGTTGCTGTAAGTTGGTTTGTAGTGTAGTAGGGCTTTTGATCAGAGTTCGTGTTGCTCTCTTTTTCCACAGCCTTCCTTTTTTTGAAAGTTAGACTTTCAGACCTTAAGAAATGATATGGGCATTCCTGAGAGTATCTCTGCAAGTTTCCTGAGAGACAATAGTCTGGTGATAACCAAACCTAACTGATCAGCGGAATTAACCCCAAGGAGGGTTTTTTCTTAAAACAGTTTGATGGTAGTATCATTTACACACTATACAATTTACCCATTTAAAGAGTACAATTTAGTGGTTTGTAATAAGTTCACCAAGTAAGTACAACCATCAGCACAATTAACTTTAAGAACATTTTCATTACTTCATAAAGAAATGCCATACTCAGCAGTCACTTCCCATTTCTCCCAAATGTAGGCAATCACTAATCTACTTCTTTGTCTTTCAGTTGCTTATCCTGGACATTTTTTATAGATGGAATCATATGATACATACATAGTCTTTTGTGACTGGCTTTTTATTTAGCAGGTTTTCAAGATTTACTTACATACATTGTAGCATGCATCAGTACTTCATCCAGAGAATGTTTTTAAAATAGATTGTCACCTCAAACCTATGGAATAAAAAACTCCAGGAGTGGGGCCTGGAAAACAGCACTTCATAAAAGCCCCTTAAGGGAGGATTCTGATCAGCTAAGTTGAAAAATCAGTGTATCACATCAATGGGTGGCCACTTAAATCTCAAACTTTTTATTTAAAATGCAAAGCTTCTGGCCATTTTCATACATATTCCTTTTTATTCTCTTATATAGACATACTGTTAAACCTGTATTCTATTTATTTTCTACATAAGTATTCTTTTTGTTACCTGTCTATAGTTTTTGGGTTGGAGGGTTAGGTCTGAAGTAATCATGTTATTTTCCCTTTGGATATGCAAATGAAACAATATAGAGATGTGAGCAAATACAATCTGTATTTTTTAAATGATAGAAATAACTTAATTTGTTTTTCAGGACACATGTTGCTAAACTTAAGTCGTGGAAAGCAAGATTTTTTAAGAGAGGTTGTGGAATCTTTCGCCAATAAAAGTGGGCAGTCTACTTTATATGATGCTCTGTTTTCTAGTCAATCACATAAGGATAGATCTTTCCTTGGTGGTGATGATTTTGGAAACATTGATGGACAAGTGCCAGAACCTGATGATTTGGCTAGATATGATGTTGGTAAGTTACATGTTTCAAAGGAAACTTCCTGCATATTAATGTAGTTGTAGTAGGAGGAAAAAAAATTGCCCATAAACTTATTACTCAGCAATAATGATTTATTTAATATTTTCCTGTATTCTTTTCTTTTTTGAGAAAGAGTCTTACTATGTCGCCTTCAGTAGAGTGCTGTAGCATCACAGCTCACAGCAACTTCAAACTCTTGGGCAGTGATCCTCTTGCCTCAGCCTCCCAAGTAGCTGGGACTATAGGCACCTGCCACAGCACCCAGCTTTTTTTTGTTGTTGTTGTAGTTGTCTTTGTTAGATTCATAACACACAAATATCTTTTCCCACTCTGAAGGTTGTCTGTTTGCTTTAATTACTGTGTCCTTAGCTATACAGAAGTTTTTTAGGTTGATTAAGTCCAATTTGTTTATTTTTGTTGTTGCTATGATTGCCAACGAAGATTTTTTTCATGAAATATTACCCCAGGCCAGTGTCATAAAGGGTTTTCCTCACACTTTTCTTTCAGAACTTGATTTATCATTTCATGTCTTGGATTTCAATCTTTTATCCAGTGAGAGTCAATTTTTGTAAGTGATGAGAGGTGTGGGTCCAGTTTCAGTCTTTTACATGTGGTTATATAATTCTCCCAGCACCGTTTATTGAATAGAGGTTCTTTTCCCCACTGTATGCTTTTGTTTGGTTTATTGAAGACCATATGATGATATGAGGCTGGTTTTATCTTTAGGTTTTCTTTTCTGTTCCGCAGATCTATGTTTTAATTTTTGTGTCAGTACCATGCTGTTTTGATCACTGTAGACTTGTAGTATAACCTGAAGTCTGATAATGTGATGCCTCCAGATTGTTTTTATTTCTAAGAACTGTGTTATTTATAAGGGTTTTTTTTTTTTTTCTGATTTCATACAAAACGAAGAACTAGTTTTTTCGAGTTCTTCAAAGTATGATGTAGGTATTTTAATGGGGATTGCATGAAACCTGTAGATAGCTTTGGGTAATATAGACATTTTAACGATGTTGATTATTCCCAGTCAAGAGCTTGGTAGATTCTTCCATTT